TGTGCCCGCTTTCAAGTCTGTCAATTGACACTTTAGCTGCTCCTCGGGTTGAATTGAACATTTGGGATTTGTGTCATCCCCGTCTTGGTGCACCTCGTACCGGCCTATCCCCGTGTTTACCGCTGGTGCTTCGAAAGTAACTGTCAAAGATGTCTTCGCTTGTGCCGCCACTTTCACAGATTCTGGTTCTGAAGTAGAAAACACAGTGGGTATATCTCTGGGTCATGCCAAAAGAGCAAAATGTATAAAACCAGCAAAGTGGAACTCACGGTTGGGTTTCGTCCATCCCGAACCAGGCACCGCTTCACTGCACACTGCTGGATCTGTGTCGGTAATGCATCCTTTGGCACTGATCTCATATTGTGTACCTGCTTCCAGGCCTCCTACCTCACAGCTGAGATTCTCCAAGGATGTTGTTTTGCACGATTTACTTGGATCTTTAGTAACAAATGCTTCGTAACGGCCGATTCCCTCCGCATCTGAGGGTGCCTCAAATGTGACAGTTACCGATGACGTAGAAATCGGATTCACCTTCACAGATTTTGGTGCTGTTATAGTAAATAAAATATTTTAAATAATAATGTGGAAATAATGCACTGGATATAGTAATTCGGGCACAAAATTAATGCCTTATGTCACTTTATTAACGGTAACTTACTGTTTGGCATTGTGTATCCAGACGCCCGCACATCCTCACTACAGATAGTTGGTTCTGGTTTTGTAATACAGGCTTTTACCTTGAAACTGTACATTGTGCCTGCTTTTAAGTTATCCACTGGACACGTAAACTCAGTTCCAGATGTAAAAAGGCAATTAAGTTTTGCGTCATCTCCATCTTGATACACCTCGTAACGGTCTATATCCGTGTTCACCGTTGGTGCTTTGAAGTTAACACTCAAGGATGTCGTCGATTTTGACACCACTTCCACAGATTCCGGTTCTGAAGTAGAAAATTCAACGTGCATCAAGTTTGAATACATAAACAGCAAACTTTAAAAAAAATAGGGGAATGACTCACTGTTTGGTTTTGTGGTGACCTCATACTTTGTACCTGCTTCCAAGCCTCTTATCTCACGGCTGAGCGTGTCCAAAGAAGTTATGTTGCATGATTTTCTTGGATCTTCGGTAACGAATACTTCGTAACGGCCAATTCGGACTTTTGTGTCTGCAGTTAACTCGAACTTGCCAAGCGGCGATGACGTGGAACTTGGATTCACTAACACTGATGTAGGTCCTATTAAATCAACAGACACCATTTTTTCCTAGAATGCATTTTTTTCATACTTGAGGCTCCTTTGCAAAAGCTTGTATGGCATATTTTTTTAACATTAAAGAGCACTTATACGCAGCTTTCAAACTGCAAATCCCAATGCATTGGCGTTCTTGCCTTTCAACACTTGCTTCGATCCGTTACACTCTTGCCAAGTGTCAAATTGCTGCGTGTCACGATAAAAGGGGATTGGTTGTTTTGGTCTAGCTTCAAAATGCCCAAAACGCAAACTTTGCGAACATTCTCCAGTTTTCTTTCTTCGTCATTGGAAACACTTAAAACGTTTGAGCTATGTTAGAGACTTAGATCACAACCATTTGTTTTCGTCCACACAATTGTATTGAATGGGTCTCCGTTCAATGTGGCTAACTCCACATTTGACTTAATTAATCAAATCCAAGGTCTTGTTTAGTAATGAAACTTTTTTACTTTGTATTAATATTGTCCACTCTAAACACGATGTGAAAAGTGGATATGACTAGTTAGTGCACTTTCTATTTTCTAAAAGATACCTACCCAACGAAAAAGTCTCAGCGTCACATGAACAACATGTCTCTCGTTAATATAAACTCAAATAAAATACATTCTTTGGGATCGCATATTAATGCTCAGTAAAGTAAATCTTAGTGACATATTCGCTGATCCACAATTTTATCTCTTCTAAACATTTGTAAGTCAGAAAACGTGTTACCTGTGACTCCATCGGTGTTTTGATTAATGCTGTTTGGCCCTGTTATCTGAGCTGATTCAACGATGTCTAAAATACAACAAATTATCACAAAATAAATTTTGCCTTTGCCAAGAAAAAACTACTTTAACATACGAAACACTATGTAGGGCAGTGGCGTAAACTGAGGTGATGAAATATATTTTCATACAGCTCAGCAACACATTTGAAAATATAAATCTAGAGAAGGTGACATACAAGCAGCTTACAAGACGTTTCTACTTTAAAAAGAAGACGATTTTCATTTAGGGTTTGCTAAATTTTTTAAATATTGGCATTCATCATCTGATACCGGTTCATAATCTGATATTTATGTTGATTTAGTAAGCTGAGACCTTATATACAAAGCCGATTTCGACTGTAGAAAAGTACACTTATCTTTTCAACAATTTGAGCACCATAAATTTTATCGAAGGTTGTAACCAGCTTGTTTCAAAGGGTTTGAGGCGTTTTCTCTCCCATGTAAGCATAGCATTAATTAAAGTTTGAAATTCAACATCAGTTAATAAAATAAAACGTAGTGTTACTAATTAAGTCTCAATATATGTGTATATCTGTTTAGAATGGGCATAATCAGATGTTTTACAACTTAGGTAATCAAATGGCTGATAAAATAATTAACGCAAATAACTTGTATTAACAAAGTAAAATAATGTACTTAAAGTATATCAATTTATGACTAAACTCATGATTCTCAACGAAAATAAAATATGCTAGTAATAACATATGTTTGGACATTTAATTAAAAAAAGTGGTACTGCCAAAGCTGACTTAACTATTTTTCGAGCTAATATAACAGGCGGATATTAGCACCCATAGAACAAACGGTGTGTACATCCTCCGATTAATACTTTCCAACTGAAGACAAATTTTCGCATACTTTTTTATACCTGCGATATGCCTTTGGACAACGTTGCTCGATAAATTTAAACAAACCAATAGCTTATTTATTAACTATTTTAAAAATGTTACTTGAACTTTTACACTTTGTAAATTTTTAAATATAATGATTTAGCTTCAAATAAGGTAAACTGTCTAAGTCGTTAAGAAATCAGGAAAGGAGTTACATTTTCAATACATCAGCATCAGCCGTATTCGTTTCACATATATCCAAAAAATCAGCTTACAAAGAAATAGCTGCTTTTCGATACGCAATATTGACATATATGTTTGTTTTTATAAATCGTGGTATTGTCACATATATTATGGCCATCAACCGCTACATTTCCGGCTTCAGAAACGTGGTTGGTCAGTTAAAAGAATAAGGCAATAAATAGTCATACAACGACGCATAGTTTGTGTTTATTCTCGTCTTTTCGATCAAGTCAATGCGTCGATTCACTAAAAGAAGAATGAGTTGGTTCTATGACCACCTGGTCTGATTTTGTGCTTTGACGTGCTGGCTTATTTGTTTGCAATCACCATCATGGATAGAATGAAGCAGCGGTTGTGTGAGTTTGAACTGTTCTTTCATCACTGGAATTTATGTGTTCATGCAGAGTTTCGTCAAGTCAATCAGAACGGGGTGCAGTTATTTTCGGTATCATCGCTAGCCTTAAGTGGCATCTAATCCTGTTTTCAAAACTTTAATTTTTTACACAATTTATGCACTTGAAAAACGTAGTTTTTTGATTAAATTGAGTGAGTTAAGTTACCTCACAACTATTACTTGCACACCTGTACTGTATATTTTACCACAGAGTCAAATGATATCCTCATTAAATATCATCCATTTTAATTGCCCCTATTTTTCCTACCCTGTCTGTCACTCGACCTGTATTCATTAAGGCCACCAATCAACACTACGTTCCATGTGCTCATCAGTAGTATATAAGTTGTCCAAGTCTTCCACTATCTCAATACAGGTTTTTACAGCTTTAAAAACGGCCATGTACGTTTTCACTCCAATTTATGTTCATAGAATTATATCTTGCTAGGTGATTCCAGTGGCTTCGATGTGGACTACCAATTACCTCAGTCAATTTTCTGCTCAGTTAAGAGATGTAATATGCATTACCACCATGTAGTTACCCTAATACCCACATCTAGAGTATCTTAAAAGTTAAGGTAAGTAAGTATGATCACTATGATCTTCATATTTGTTTCCGTGTAATCAGAATTAATGTTCAGAACAGAAAGATAGTAATTATATCATGTTACCGTGTATATCATGTGCCATGATGTTGCTACAGTTTAACAACCATCAATTCCATGGTCTTAAGCAAAAACAGCAAAACTCTCGACTTGTTCGATTTATTTCTTCATCTTAGTCCGTTTTCTAAACTAATTATTGAAAGACGTTCAGATACTGCTTTATAATAAAACATATAACATCTGATTAAATTAATCAAAAAGAATATTTTTATAAATTCCCATTTTGTCAAAAGGGATTAAAATCCAAGTTAAAAAATAGGTTTGGAAAAATTCAGGCTTTTTGATATCATGCTTTTACTAAGCGAATCACATTATTGATTATCTTAAAAAAGTAAAGTTGTGCAGACCCCTATTCTATTTTCCGTAATTTGGAACACAACGCTTTCCCTTTTATAACGTACATTATACCTGTAATTCAAATGCATGTCTGTGCTCTTATTTAACTTCCTTGACTCTTGAACAGTTTACGATTTTAATTCAGTTTTTTCCGTATTTCTAGAAGAACATGGATACAGTGGTGGAGTTGATCAGAAATTTTTGTGCACTAAAATTAATATTTGTGATTACATAGTACGCTACATCACTAGAACACGTGTGCACCTAGTTATATAAAGTTTATTCTAATTTATTCCATCACAGCATAACGATATGTTCAATATGGATTATTTAAGTCAATAGTTGATTGGAAAATTCAATAAGTCTCCTTGTTTTAGTATCCCCGTCTATTTAATTTCTTTCTCACTTTACACTCCAAATTGTTTTCTGGACACGTCAAAGTATGCGTAAGTGTGTGCCATTAAGTATGCGCAAATTTATGTGCATGTATACGCCAAAAGAAATATCGACTTTGTCATCCAATGTACTGTGGTTTTTCCGCAGACGAATCAGGCCTTTTTAAGTGTCGACCTGTATGTAGTTTCCAGACCAATACTGAACTTGCTGCTGATTGTGATGCCGATGTTGTATCCGGCAGTAACTGGTCACTCAGGGTCCACTGATTTGATCACGTTGCTGAATCTGAAAATGCATCCAATAATATCCTCAATTACACAGGGGTCGGAACAGAATGCAATATTAAAAGCAGTGACGTTTGCTTATTTATTTATCCTTGTTATAAATCAACTATATTTTGTGCACTTTGAGCCACTTTACGTCATTGCTGCCCTATGTAACAGAAAGGTAATTTAATTTAAGTACACTGACAACATTTTTTGCAGTGAAGTTCCAGTGAAGTTTATAAATTTTTTGTCGTCAAAAGCACTAAGTGCTTTTAACATTGTGATGTTTTAAAAGTATTTTTATATACTCCGACTCTTTGCAGTTCAGTTTTAACTCGTTTGTGTTTTTCCCTGTTTGTTTGTTGTCAAACACCATGTTTGGTTATTGGGCGGTAATTTGCAGCAAAGCAGTCAACGAGACACATTTTAGTGTGATTTAAAAGGGTGATGTATTTTCATAGTAAAAGCAGCCTGCTGGTTTGACAACTTCTGACAGACTTTGCTTGTGGCTGTGATTTATAAAATTAAACGGACTGACACTGAATACATTGTCTTCGATTAAAATATAATTGCTCCTATTTTATTTGTCAGATGCGTCTCCGTTAGCCTAGCAATTGCGGATTAGTTAAATGCCTTGTTGTGGTGATACACTCCGCAGATCAAAATTACTGAGTTTCAACGGTTTATTGCATGATACCGTGTAAGTTTTTATAGGAAGACTACATGTTGAGATCCCTATCCACATGCTTCCATGTAAAGTGTATAACTTGATTTGTGCAAACGTTTCAGCAAAGTTATTTTACCTTGGGAATATTGTCCATCATTTTCAATGACCATGCGCCATCTCTAAAATAACGCAGGAATGCCGTCGCGAAAGACAATTGCATGCCTCGGGGCAAAGAATTCATCATTGACGAATTACCGCGCATCGTCCAGCGTTTTGAATTGCTTGTCCAATAAGGCGTGCTGCTGCATTGAAGGGAACAAGTGGTAATCGCATGAGACAAAGTATGGAGAATATGCTGCATGTGGGAGAACTACCCATCCCAAGTTCAAGAGGATCTTTTGAGTCGCGCCAGCAACGTGAGGTGATCGAGCATTGCCATGTAGCAGCAATAGGACTTACCTGCTTCCTTGCCCAGTAGATGGCCAGTTCTGCCCGTTTCTTCAGTCCATTTGCACTGTTGCCGTCTGTAGTGTTCTGCAGTCACCGTCTGACCAGTTGCAAGGAGCTTGTAATGCAGTTCAGCCTTTATGTCCCATGAGATTTGCATGAGGACCTCCATCAAGCGTATATCCTGTTTCGGCATCGATGTACTGGGTTTCAGTGATCTATCCACGTCTTTTGTGCCTCGCTTTCTTAAAGAATACCTGTTTTTCATCGGCAGCCACAATGTTCTACAAAAAGCCCTTTTTAGGTTGGCGGCAAAAAGTGAAAGGCATTTGTTCATACATTGGCTCAGGTTGCATTCGATCAACCCATTTGGGACCCATCTTCCAAGTTCTGCATTTGTCAAACGTAATGATCCAAAAGCTTGTAGACAGGTGTTTGAATAAGGCCAAACTGAGCTGAAAGCCCTTATTGTGCTTGCGTTGAGTCTTAATTCAGAAGAGCTTGCAATTACGCAACTTTAGACTTTTAAAGGCAGTCCGAGGCGGGGCTCGTTCCTAGGATAAAAATCACCACTTCAAAACCATTTTATCAATAATTACACACTGTGTGAGACACAATGTTGGCACAAAGAACAATATTAATTGATTTTTGTGCTTTAAAAACATTTTTTCTACGTTGAAATTCGTATAAAATGCAGTGCCATCGAATGTGCTGTTTAACCGTTTGCATCGTAAATTGCAATTCAAAGAGGTTATGTACTCACGTAAGCGTGTCGTTTGTGTTCTGAAACTCTTGCGTCCACTCCTCTAGAGGCTGCAAAAGATCTCGAAAATATTTCCATTTTAAATAAAATTTAAACATGAAGGAAAAATCCGGGAACATTGAGTCACACACCTTATAAGTTCAAAATCATCAATTTGACTTACAATCACACAAACTTGGCATAAAAGCATGCGACCTAGTCGATAATATTTAGCGAAAATGAATTGGCTAACTTGTACAAAGTCTAGGGAGAGAGCGTTGGTACGTGCAATTCTTAAGGCACTAATTCGACTGATGCAGAGGCTCACATTAAAATTGTTGGCGTTTAGTTGCAACTTCCTTGAATAATGCTAGCAAATTCGTGGAAAGCAGTCAGGCTTACCAAAGACGATTCTATTCTTTATCATCATTTGCCTTATTCTTTCTGTTTGTGCGCAATCACCAAAAAAACCAAATATTTAAACATTCTTAAATCGGTAACAAGATATTGCATACCCTTTCAAAAATTCACCAACTTTGGTTCAACGACTTTATTTTAAGAGAATTGTCAGCAAAACATTAATTTTTTGTTACGCTGCTTCCAGGTACAACTTTGTTGATGGAATGAGTTAATTTGTGCTGAATATACCAATTAAATTAACGACCACAAGATTATGCAATTCCGCAAGCCCCTAGCAGATATCGATTCACAAAGTACCCACTTCACAAGAATACATATATGCTGGAAATGCCACAACCTCTAATGCGGTACTAGAGACTTCGTTTAGTTTTAAGGAGGTAGAAAAGATTTGTGTTGGAACAGAAGTGTTATTGACAGAATCTGAGGGGATGCTGAACGCCTTTGAACGTGCCTTTTCTTTGACACTTTAGAATTTTTCACCCCCTACGCAGTGCTCTAGTTAGCGTAACAGTCTCCGAATTTTTACTGCACCTGTAAAACAAACCATTTTTGCGATGTAAAGTAACTTTTGTTCCATCTCTCAATGGAATTGAAAAGAAGATAGAATGCCATTTCTTAATTAAATGGTGGTTTGAATTCAGAATATGCAAAAAACTGCATTCCGTTACCAACGTACTGCATGTTCAAAAATCACTTTTGCTTGTTTTGATTTTTTTATTGATTATTTTACTTATTAAAACAAGTTTGTTGTATTTGCAAATGCATTGATGCATTTAATTGATTTGATTGAGGTTAATATAAATGTCCTTATTGCATGTAAAGAAACAGTTGATTGATGTGACTTGTTTAAAATGATTTTCATTTGAGCTGTTATTTAGTAGTTTCCTGAAATTATTTATTTTTCTTGCCCTTTTGCTTCAAGTTCCTCCTCTTGAAGCCTTTACGACACAAAACTTCCCTACGAAAAGGCTTTGAGAGCCCTTATGACGTAAAATGAGTATGCACTTATGATTTCTTGTAGTGCTGTTTGATAACCACAACTAATGTGCGATGTTGGACGTGATTTCACTGAATTTCGCCTACGTAAGATGTGCTCTCAAGGATTTTTCCACCCCAAGTAGTGATACTCGTTCAGCAGTTTGAGGGTCAGGTGTCAGAGAACCGCCATAACAGACAGTTCCTTGCCCTCACTACCAGATTCAACTCAGAATTGCTACATGGGTGTAATGCAAATTGCCATATCCAGGAGGAACTCGTAAAACAGTGCACTCCCACAAAAAACGGACTTCGTGACCACGAGCTGTGATATCAACAGGAAACTCGTGGCATTCTTCGAGCATATTTTGTGGGATTTTGTTGAGTCTGTGGAATTGCAATAACTGAACATCACTTCTCACACAGACTATCCTAAATGCATTAAAACGACTGACACTAATCCTGTAGTGCTTCGGGGCTATTAAATTGACACCTCGGAACAAAAAATGTCATCTTAAGAATCATGGGGGTTTGAAAACAGCGACATGGTTGCACAATATCGGGGTGGTTTTGACAATTAAAGTGGCAATCAAAGTTATATTTTTAACAGCAATTTAAAGGTCGAGGTGGCGATTATTTGCATGTCTTTTAGGAACCAATGGAGCCACCGCCCTAGCGATATTTTGAATGGTCTACTAGTATCGGGATCGATTTAAACAAATGCAAAGGCTATCTTTCAGTTACAAACCCACAAAACCCGAGTATTCAGCAATGGTTAAATCTGTGTTTTGAAAATTCCAAAACCAAGATTGCATATCTATCGTTTATTTTTGGAGAGTTTACAATGCGAATGTTAGCCAAACTTGACGACATATTAAATAGTCAATAGATTAAATTGCAAAATTGCCTGTCATTATTGTTGCACGGAAAATGAACTAAATGGGCTTTTGGCGGAAGACAAGCACGCAAATCGCCCTCACGAATCGACTGCCTACTTTTCAACAGACAGTATCGTCTTCAGATCAGATGCCGAACTAAAACAACGTTGCAAGTTTAAAAATTAGCTTCTTTTTTAAAACCTGGCTCAAAATCAGGAAAAAAAATATAACTAACCTTTGGTATGAGTTAGTTCTTTGCGCCTTCGTTACCAACCTAAGGATCAGAAATATATTCCCATTTAAATTCTCGATTGGCCGATATGTGGACTTTAGGTTTTTTTCAAAATGAATGATGATAAACCGAATGCCAATTTGAGACCAAATATGAGGGTACACGATTTGGTTGTGATCACGTCAGCCTAACAAAGAAAATTACAAGGACGTTTTTTGTCCTAATTAGCGAGATTGAGGCTGCAGTTGGACTGCCGTTGATGTAACATTTACGTAACGCTTATCCGTTGTTTTAATTTTGACTCCTACTGATTGTTGCTTATAATTTGCTTTTTAACGAGCGCAAATCATGACTAATGGTGTTCAAAGTGTACTATGCGGCTAGTCTCCTTTTTATCAGTATACATTTACTGATTATTTAACTCATTTGCCCGCTACGGTGTAGAGTTGAGTCAAAGAAAGTTTCAAAATAAATATTTTAGCATCCTTTAGGTTAAAAGCATAAATAATCGATGTGATTTTGTTTAAATGAACCTCATCCTCAATTTGCCTTCTGCCTGCTCACTCCACGAAAGTCATGGCAAGCACCTACAGTTTCCTCCTAATTGCTCACAAACACTTCACCTTCATTATAATAACCAGAACAACGTGTTACACCACTGGCGTGGCAGATGTATTGAAGTAAGTAAAAAAACTTAATGCCGTTTGTGCAACTACTGCTAAGCCACACACACATTTGATTGTGTGATTTACATGCAGTTATCACAATGACTCAGAAGCAAACCCTGAACCACCTCTTGTTGAACCAAGAAAAGTGCAAGGGTATCAAGTGTACTTAAGCATCCAAATGTGTGTAAGCATTGCTCTTTGCTAGGAGCCTTTGAAAAAAAGGCGAATCGTTTGTTGCTTGCTTGATAAGTTCACACTACCTCCCTGATCCATAGAACTTCCAGCGGCTGCGATACCCAACAATTGCTAATCAATTAAAATTATCTGCAAAAGTTAGACAACCAGCCGAAAAAAACCAACCTTCCTTTCTCGTCCGTGTCAGCGTCTTTGGTTTTGTCGCGTTTCTGGCAGTTCACGATGATTACAATGATGATGGTTAAGATGACAATGGCAATTATAACTGCGACGATAATTATTACGTATTCCGGAACTTCTTCTGAAATGCAAGATGGTACAACATTCGTTATGTTATTGTTCTCACACCCTGAGTGATCGAGGACTTGATTCACTCATTGCCACTCCGTTTGGTGTCGCCGGTGCACACTGAATAGTCAGATAAGGATTTGGAGTTAAGAACGCAAAGAGAATTCCAAAACAAACCGACTCGGTTGGGCATATTATGCTCATGGGGACTACTGCCTCATGGTAAAAGCAAGGCTCTACATTTTAATGGAAACGCTAATTGAGATGTACAAGGAAGCTTCCATGCCATCACAGGTACTTAACAAAAAACGGCATTAAATGACAAAAAACACCGCCAATGTTGCGGATATATTGCCAGTCTAGCAAGTGAATTACAACGTAGGTACTAATACTATCAGACAAAGGTACATAAAGATTACCAGGCTCGTTAGTTGTGGTTATGCTGGCGAAGCCAATGTCATCTCCACACACTGTATCCGATATGCACGATCTCACTGATATGGTGTAGTCCGTATTGGCACTGAGGCCATTGATGGAGCACTCTAACACTTCAGCCGAGGCATCAACGGAGCACATGTATTCGTCGGCTGGAACAGCCTTCTCGGTCTTCTGTCTTGCCAGAGCTTGGTAGAACTTGATATTTTCTGTCCTTCCGCTTGGTTGTAGCCATCGGACTACAACACTGTTGGCAAAAACGTCACCTATGGACAGGTTCCGGGGACCTGAAACACATTTGAGATTAGCGATTAGAGATTTGGATAGCAAAATCTCTCATAACTTCGTAGGTGTCTTGATGTGTCAACGTGCTGAGTAGACTTCAACCTGGCACGGTGCCGAGAGGTTGGCAAAAAAATCTGATTTGACCAACTAAACTGTTAACTTTGAAAATTTTCAGACAGTTCTGTCTTCGATATTACGATTGCGGTTGGGTGGCATTAAAAAAATTACTTGCGTTCACCGCAAAAGAAAGCCACAACCCACGGAAACAGTGCACTTTTAAAGGAACCTGCCGGATTTAAACGACTTGCGAAAACTCCAAGCAATCTGATACATTGAATTACACTTACTGTTAGGTTTCGTCCATCCAGACGCCACCACGTCCTCACTGCAGGCGAAGAGAACTTCACGAGCGATACATGAGGTCACGCTGACCTGGTATTCTGTGGAAGGCTCCAAGCCTTCGAACTTGCAGTCAAGCTTATGAGATGATGCTACTGAGCAGTACTTTGGTGGGTCGGCTCCGACCAGTGACACATCATAGTTGGTAATTCCTTTGGCGTCGCTTGGAGCCTCAAATTCAACCATTATTGACGACGTAGTGTCTGGTGTTACTGCCACAGACGTCGGTGCTGATAATTGTAAAGAAAAGCATCGTGACGGCTTGAGCAAAGTGAGAAACCTTTGAAGTCGATCATAGTTGTCAAGTTACCGTTCGGTTTTGTCCATCCTGAGCCCACTTTGCTTTCACTGCAGACAGGGGGATCTGTGTCGTTGACACAGGCTTCGACATTGACCGAATACTCCGTGCCTGCTTCCAAGCCCTCTAGCTGACACTCGGGTTTATCTAGAGATGTCATTGTGCATGCTTTGGAAGGGTCTCCTTCAACGAAGGCCTCGTAACGGCCAATTCCACTGGCGTCATTGGGTGCAACGACGGCGACACTCAAGGACGACGACGTTTTCGTCGTTACCGTCACCGATTCAGGTGCTTTAGAAACACAAAAATAGAGAAAACTTTGTTATTGAGATGAGGTGCTAATATCACGTTTCTGACTCACTGCCTAGTATTGCCGATCGAGGCGTCACAAATAACAATTGGTTTAATTTTGCATGAAAGTAAATTTGGGACGTCTACAGCTTACAAAGTGTGTCGAAGGTCAATAATTCTTTATTGCACATATGATTACTTCAGTAGAATGATACGAATATGGTAAATACGCCTCGTAATGTTCACTGGTTGACTCAAGGGAAATTAAAACAAAATTGTGCGGCAGTTTAAGCCAAGGACTAACCGGTAACGCGTACGTTAGATTTTAAACGACTAGCACATTTAAATAATGATTAATTAAACGTACCTAATTAGACTGATCGGGAAAAAGGGCTTTTTGAGCAGAAATAACCAAAATTATAGTTTTTGCTAGGCCAATAAGGTAATATTCTGCAAATTAGGACAGTTTGCTTTGGATGGAAGTAAGCAAAAAAGATTGATAATATGCGCTTTCTCCTTAAAGGATGTCACAACATAAGTTAATGCAGACTTGCCATTCGGTTTCGTCCATCCAGTTGCTTTGACAATTGCACTGCCTACCACAACAGTCTCCATCCGCGATTGAACCTCGAACGTGTACTGTGTGCCAGCCGCAAAGCCCTTCAGTTCGCATTCCAGTGGCGACTGTCCAACCTCGATGTCGCATTTCACCGGCGGGTCCATTCCCTTGGCAGTAACTTCATACCGATTAATGTTCTTTGTGTCGTCTGGAGGAGTTAGCGTCACCTTTACCGAGGTTGTCGAAAGTGGGATCACCGTTACATCCTTCGGAGCTGCAATGTTAATTCATTATGACCCAATTTTTAACAACATCACAAGCAGTGCCTGAGACTGTTTCGACGACTTACCTTCCAGCATGGTCCACCCAGTGGCGTTTTTAGCATCGCTTGAGACCTGCGAGAAGGGATCGCCCAACCACGCGCGAACGTCGACGACGTATTTTGTCGACAGACTGAGGCCCTCAATCACGCAAGATGGCAATGTTCCCCCCGTCGCCGTACACTTCAGCTGATCATTGCCTTGTATTTCCGCCACGTAGCGATCGATATTTCTTGCATCATCTCGCGGGGTTATGGTGACCTTCAGTGAACTTACAGATGCTGGTATAACATTGACACGCGCCGGAGCTAACAAAGGAGATTTTGGGAGTTAGATATCTAAATACTACTTTTCATGATAAGAGATTGAGTTCAGTGGTTGACCTTAACGACTAATATAAGTCAACGCTAATGCAGACATTACATTTTGTAAGACTAATCTGATATCATTAACATGTATACTGCCAAATTTGCACAAAAATTGGTAGTTTAGGTATGGTTCCCATGTCATAGGCTCGAATACTTTCTTGCGCAAGACAATTTACCAGCATATTCCGAATATGACGGTACCCCAGTGCACAGTACACTAAACTGTCGATTAGTTGTCAATTACATTAAAGCTTAATCGGCATTAGAAATCAATATTGCTGTGATACTTTTGTGTTGCGGGTAAACGTACGCCATGGTCGAGTGCTCGCAGTCTGCGGATCGGATTTGTCGCTGCAAAGTGTGTCGCCGTCTGCGGTGAAACAGGCCACCAAGTAGACGGTGTATGGCAATGCGACAATGAGGTTGGTAGCTTTACACGTCGAGGTTGCAACGTCACAAGTTCCGAAGGGCAGATTCTGCTCGTCCACAAGTTTGTACACATATGTCTGGCCTTGGTCGGGTAATTTTGTAAATGTCCATTCCAGAGACTTGGTCCCGCTGTCTGTCCATACGGGCGCACTTGGGGCTATAAAGCACCAAAAGCAACCGATAAAATTGTGTCTACAACCAACCAACCAACGCGCCCTTTAAACACGCTAAACCATTATAAACTCATGGCAGATAATGGTTCTAAATTTGCTGACAGAAGCAGTTTTAAAGCTGGCAGAGACGTGCAATGAGATTCTGTCTTCCACAGCTGCACCAAGGGATTCAAGTTAAAATTACAGGTTTTTCATGGGTTTTGTTGGGTATCAGCATCACTAGAAAAGTATATTTTGGTGGCAACCAATTCCTTTGGCGTCGGGGGTATCCACGATTCGAGCGACTAGATTTGACGCGTGGTTTGGTTTTTTTCGTGTAAGCAAACTAATTCAAAACAACAGTCAACACATTTCCACTTGCAGAAGAAGGTCTCAGCAAAGTCTGGACATGTGGTGTTTTCTGCTAAATTTTAACTTACTGGAAGGTCTTGTCCAAATTGGCACCACTAAACTTTCACTGCAGATAAACGGGTTCACCACGTCGATGCAGGACTTGATAGCTACCTGGTACTGGGTAGCTGCTTGTAGTCCATCCAGGGAACACTCGACTTCTTCCCCAGAAATGACCGAGCAGGATCTGGTTACTCCATCTCTGTCGAGAGAAACCTCATAGCTGCCTATGTTTTTGGCCTCTGTTGGTGGGTTAACTTCGATGAGCATAGAAGACGAAGTCCTTGTTTTCACCGTCACAGAGGAAGGTTCTATCAACACAGAATTAGAAATTTCCATCAGATCCTTCATTTTACCAATCATTAACTCATTTTTTTGCACAAAAACATTTATTTAGTGAAATACTTAGTACTTTTGAGTGCAGCCGATGCAAATGTAGGAAACACCATATTTAAACTAAGGACGTAATTTTTTGTGCGTTTAAAAGTGGTCCAAAGATTATACGTAAAGGTAAAACTGTTATAGGACTTCCTTATCGTTTTTTGAATGCAACTGTTAGAAAGGATGCTTAGTTTTGCTGAACTGAACAGCCACGTCAACTACTAATAATACATAAAATGACATTTAACTAAGAAAAAAATAAAATAATTTTGAGGAAAGCAAAACTCAAAGCGAACGTTCATTAAGGATTGCAGGGGATATGGACTTGCCATTCGGTTTCGTCCATCCAGTTGCCTTGACAATTGCACTGCCCACCACAACAGTCTCCATCCGCGATTGAACCTCGAACGTGTACTGTGTGCCAGCCGCAAAGCCCTTCAGTTCGCATTCCAGTGGCGACTGTCCAACCTCGATGTCGCATTTCACCGGCGGGTCCATTCCCTTGGCAGTAACTTCATACCGATTAATGTTCTTTGTGTCGTCTGGAGGAGTTAGCGTCACCTTTACCGAGGTTGTCGAAAGAGGGATCACCGTTACATCCTTCGGAGCTGCAATTTTGAATCAACAAACACAATTGTCACAAAGGGAGCTAAATACACATATTCAATTGTTTCAAGCCAACCGCCTCTGATTATGCTTATATCAAATTTTGCTAATTCAACGCAAATGAGTAGTTTTGTTATGTGCCAAGGTGGTTTTGAAGTTAATCACTTTCTTTTAATGACTTGCCTTCAAGCATAGTCCACCCAGTGCCAGTTTTAACATCGCTTGAGACCTGCGAGAAGGGATCGCCCAACCACGCGCGAACTTCGACGACGTACTTTGTCGAGAGACTGAGGCCCTCAATCACGCAAGATGGCAATGTTCCTCCCGTCGCCGTACACTTCAGTTGATTATTGCCTTGTATTTCCGCCACGTAGCGATTGATTCTTAAGTTATTTTCAGGCGGACGTATGTTAATCTTGAGCGATGTGGTCGATTGTGATACCACGGTGACTCGAGCGGGTGCTGTAAAACCGACATTGGAAAAGAGAGATCAAATTTAGTTTGCATAAGCAACAGTTTTCATGCCATGGGAGAGAATCAAATAAATATTTGTGTCAATTTTGTTGCACTGTGACGGTTGATTATAGACTATTAATCATACGTCTTAATTAACGACGTTGCCTTATGCTCTATTACTTTATACAACTACTTATCATAGGATAAATTAAATATTCAACGGTGTAGTAAGGCAAGATAATAATTTCTTAAACTAGTGGCCAACGCAATATTACATTAAAACCAATTTAAATTTAACCACTGAAAAGTGTTTTTGAAATGGCAGACATACGCCGTGGACTAGTGCTTGAAGTCTGTGGGGCCGATTTCTCGCTGCAGACTGTGTTTCCGCCTGAGCTCGAACAAGCGACCAAGCAAACGGTGTATGCTGTCGCGGGGGATAGGCCTGTCGCTTCACATGTCAGGGTGTTAACGTTGCATGACCCAAAGGGTAAATTCATGTCATCCACAAGTTTGTACGAGTATGTTACACCTTGGTCATCTAATTTCGTGAATTTCCACTTCAGTGTGGTTGCCCCGCTCTCTATCCATGTTGGCGCATTTGGAACTAAAAACAAAGATTAATTTTTGTTATAAAAATAGAAAAGGCCCGCATATACGGAGGTGATTACTTTAAATAAAAAATTACGATGGGCAGCACAATCATAATGTTTACCGTGAAAAATTATGTATTTTTTTAATTATAAATCGTTCTTCGTTAAGCTAAACTTACCGTTATGATACTACTAGTTGATTTTTATATGGCTAGTGTTTTTATCAAGTACCGTTAACTCGAAACACATATTTCTGGCACGAATTCCGGTTGATCTCAAGAAATTTGCCACAACTTGTTTTTGTTCTCACCTACCAATTCCCTATATATTCGCAATTATAATCTAAAGACCAAATATAAAATTAGAACAACGTAACAAAAAACTAAACATTTGAACACACTGATTAGCTCACTGTAACATAGTTTGTTTGCGTTTTCCTTAACATATATTAGTGAAGATTATTTAGTGCACTATATGTCATTCTTGCATTCAAAGTCTCCGGCCCGATAAAGTGGAAAGCCCACACTTCTGCGAATTCACGCAAGCGTTAGTCAATCTACACCTTCCATAGTTTCACTGCTCTCTTATTGCTAAACAACACAGCTGGCAAATATGAATAGATAATATAGTGATAGAAAGCAGCAAGCAAACACGACAAACAGCATTTGAAAAAAACCAACCATTTATTGCATATTCAGGTGTCACCAGCAAGAGAATCCACAAAGCAAACCCAAGGTGAACCCTCGAAATCCCCATTCTAATTGAAAATTCCAAAATCCCATTCCCTTTTATACTTGCCAAAAACCTTGAGAGGGCACACCGCGATGTATTAAAACTAACGATTAATCATCATTAATGCAGTTGTTAAAATAGATTTGAAATTTTTTTTAATAGCAATAGAAATTTTGTAGCATGATCTTTGTATTATGTTGGGTAATCAGTCATCTGCGTAGTTCTTTTTTAGCCAAAAAATCGCCTTTTTCAGAAAAATTTACGCTGGATGGCACTTTAAATGGTCCAGGCATACATTTTAGCGATGAGATTCAAATCAAAATGACAAAGGTAAATACTTACTATTTTTCACGAAAGACTGTAAAATAAAGCCTATGGTGTAATGTCACTTGATGCTTCATTCAATTGTGAAATTTGCAATTTACATCTTAAATCCGTGGACAAAAAACTTTAAAATTGTATTTAACCCTTTTATTGCATTTATATGGTGATAGAACGTGATTGTAAAAATCAAAATGACAAGGTTAGGTGCAACCACGACTAGGGAATGGTAGTATATAATTTCTCTCGTGAACGTCCCCACTTACAATAGATGTCAAACGATTGTTAATTTGTCGGATTTGTCAGCTCCACCTAAAAAAGTTCCTTTTTAATGTAATAAAAGCTTTTAAGAAATCGTGAGTCAAGAAAACTCTTTAGAATTCCAAGATCGTTAAAACATTTTCGCGTCCGATGGAACCAATCCGATTACGCTCATTGTTTTGTAAAGGTAGCTAGGATAATCTTTAACTACGTGGATTTAATGCGTAGATTTGAAATACACTGATTAAAAT